TTTTTGGTTGCAGCCATCATTGTTGTTTGGTGGGCCCAGGCTGGATTCGAACCCACCACCTTAGGTGTATGTGGCTGGTGCCTTAGCCACTTGAGCCATAGGCGCCGAGTCAGTACCATGGTGTCATCATAGCTCACAGCAATCTCCAACTTTTGGGCTCAAGCAATCCTCTTGCCTCAATTTTTCTATTTTTAGGAGAGAAGCGATCTCACTCTTGCTCAGGCTGGTCTTGAACATGTGAGCTCAAGCAGTCTACCTGCCTGATTCTCCCAGAGTGCTGGGATTACAGGATTACAGAAGTGAGCCACTGTGCCCAGCTGCAAGAAGATCTCTTGAGCCCAAGCATTTGAGATTGCTGTGAGCTATGATGAGGCAAGGGCACTGTACCCAGGGCACAGAGTGAGACTCTGTGTCAAAACAAAAGATCAGGGGCAGCACCTGTGGCTCAAAGGAGTAGGGCGCTAGCCCCATATGCCAGAAGTGGTGGGTTCAAACCCAGCCCTGACCAAAAAGCACACACAAAAAAAATGTTAAGTGGTTAAAACAGAAAACTAAATTAAAAACAAACAAACAAAAAAAACCCAGAAGATCAGGGATCTGGAGGCCACATCAGCTCTCTCTGCTCCCTGACCTTGATGGTAAATCACCTGCCTGTAGCAGCCACACAGGCAGTTTGTCCACTTGACCATGGTCTGCTGTGTACCACATGTAGATTAGGCTTACCTGGCTGTGTGCCACACAAAACCAGACACAGCATGTGTTCTGTGTACTGTGTACTATGCACCCATTTTTCTATCATTCTTATCTGTTGTCTATTTTCTTTTTCTTTCTTTTTTTTTTTTTTTTTGAGACAGATTCTCACTATTTTGCCCTCTGTAGAGTGCAATGGCATCACAGCTCACAGCAACCTCAAACCCTTGGGCTTAAGCGATTCTCTTGCCTCAGGTTCCCAAACTGGGACTACAGGTGCCCACAGTGCCCAGCTCTTCCTTTGCTATGCTTCCTCCACCTGCCCTCCCCTGCTGCCTTCTGATTGGGCTGTGGCCTGCTGGAGTCCCTTCACCTTCTTTCTTCTGGACCTGCTCTGTTTGCCAGTAGCAGAAAATCACTGATAAACACGTATTCTACCTTTTTTGTGTGAACAGATGACCCAGTTACCCAGCCGGATCTCTCCCTGGGAGAGGAGAATGAGCCACGGGTTCCAGAGTTGCAGGACCTCCAGGGGAAAGAAGCGCCCCAGGTCTCCTACTTGGGTGAGGAATGATACCAGAACTAGGGGGACAGAGTCAGGGGAAAGGTTACCGTGGGCCAGAGAGAAAAGTCTGTTCTTCTCTGCAGCTGCCAGCAGCTTCTCCCAGCTCCTTGGTTCTGTTACGGTCTTGCATGTCTTGCCCTGTCCCACAAAGAATCTGGGGGACCTTAATTTTGCCGAGTGTGGGATCGTATGCCCTTTACCAGGATCTAGGAAATTATAGGGATTTCTTTCTCCTCTGCCTATAAGTAACACCTACTTCGTGCTGATGGTCCTGAATAAGCCTAGTTGGAAGGGGAGTGTCTCCTCTCAACTGGGTACTGAGCACAGTCCCTTCAGATGCCTTACCTGTCCAGACCTCCCATCCGCCCCTGAACAGGGCTGCTGTGAGGACACTCAAGCACGGGGCAGTGCTGGGGTGCAGCAGTGGCAGTTTTCAGCCCTTCTCCAGGCTTTTCTTTCTTTATTTTTTTTTTGTTGTTGTTGCTTTTTTTGCTTTTTTTGAGACAGAGTTTCAGTTTGTCACTCCTCGGTAGAGTGCCCTGGCATCACAGCTCACAGCAACCTTAAACTCTTAGGCTCAAGAGATCCTTTTGCCTCAGCCTCCCAAGTAGTTGGTACTATAGGTGCCCCCCACAACCCCCAGCTGTTTTTGAGACGAGGTCTCACTCTGGCTCAGGCTGGTCTCAAACCTGTATGCTCAGGCAGTCCATCTGCCTTAGCTTCCCAAGTGTTAGGGTTACAGGCGTGAGCCACGACACCCAGCCCTTCTCTAGGCTTGTCTGTGTCACCAGAACTTGTAACCTCCATGCCTGCGTGCTTTGAAGCATCAGCCTCTTCAGAGGAAAACAGCTGTGTATAGAATCAGCCGAAGCCCCATACCTTTCTCCTTCGGGGTTTAGAGCTGAGATGGAGCAGACAAGGTTCTGGTTCCCCATCCCCACCAGGAACAAGAATGCCGGCTCGGCACAGTGTCTCACACCTCTAATCCTAGCACTCTGGGAGGCCAAGGTGGGTGGATGGCCTGAGCTCAGGAGTTCGAGACCAACCAGGGCAAGAATAAAACTCTATCTCTACTAAAAAATAGAAAAAAATATTAGCCAGCTACATGGGAGGCTGAGGCAGAAGGATCGCTTGAACCCAGGATTTTGAGCTAGGCAGACGCCATGGCACTCTATCCTGGGCAACAGAGACTTTGTCTTGGAAAAAAGAAAAGAGAAAAAAAACATTCCAGAACCTTGGTGTGGTGTGGTAGCTTCTGCTTCAATTCTGCCCCTTGGGCTCTGCACAGGCAGGTTGTGGAGCGTCTGCAGGATATACAGGACGCTATATCTAAACACCCACCACAGAAAGTGGAAATAGCCTTTGGGTTAGGTCAGTTACTTGTCTCTGGCCACAGACGGAGCAGAACCAGGATCTAAATTGATTTTGTATAGCTTTAGAACCTGACTTATTTTGCCGTCAAGTTCATTGATTCAGCAAATACTTACTCAGTGGCCAGCCTGTGCCAGGCCGCAGGAGGGAGCCCAGGGCCAACCTCAGATCACTATCTAGCATCTATTCAGATACCTTCCCTGGATAGTGCTGCAGGTGCAAGACAAAATGATTTTTCCATTTTCTCCTCCAAAAGACTTTCCAAGTTCCCAGCCCTTCCAGGTGGAAGAAAAAAGGAGACGGGATGAGCCACAGGTGCCAGAATTCCAGGCCTGCCAGCAGACGGCGCTAGCGCAAAGCACTTGCCCAGGTAGAGGAGGGTCTGGGGCTGTGGGGGGCATGTGTGTGTTCATGCACGTATGTGCACATATGTAATGTGTTGTGTGTGTACAAGTGCATGTGTGGTGTGTGTGTAGATATCTTTGGTGGTGGGAGGACATAGTACCATCAGGAATTAAACTCTCTGAGATCCCCCCTGACCATCACTGTGGCATTATCAACCGCTTGCTCTGGTTCTCTTTTGCTAGGGTCTTTCTCCAGCTGACTCCCAATCCCAGTTTTTCCCTCCTTGACTTTCCTAGGGGGGTTGAGGCAGGATGCTGATGTACTACTACTGTAGAGAGTGTGGGTGGCCAGAATCCTGGGACAGAGTCTTGGAATTAAAGAGCAGGTTTCTGGAATGCTGGAGCTGCAAGGGATTTCAGGAAAGTGTGTTTCCATTACTGCCCTCAGAAAAATAACCACAGTGTAGGTTCTGAGTCATCTTGGTAAAAGTCACCACCTTCAGAGGCAAAGACTAAATTGTTGCTATTTCTAAAATCCTCAGGTTCTGACATTCTTCTGAACCCCAAACCCAAGTCTCTGATTCTTACTTGAACCCACTGTGTCATTGTGGTTTTCAGCTTTGGAGACTGACTTACACATTATTTCTTTTATCGGTCATGCTTTTGGAGGCAAGATGTGTGTTATTTTTACCTAGGTCCATGTCGTGCACTTGCCCATTTGTGCTCAGCCCACTCTTGTGTGGACGGGAGGATTTTACAGAGTAGTGGATCTGGAAGGATGAGACCCCCCCCTCCCCACAAGCATTGATGTCCAGCCCTGGTTTTCTAAGAGCCCGTGGGACCCTCTCAGTCTGGATGCAGACTTGATGTTTGCAGTGCATTTGAATCTTCTCCAGCCCTCTCTGTCCATAGCAACGTTCCTCAGTCCCATCAGCACACTTTACAAGGTGATGGATGTTCATTCACACAGAGGAGTTTTCAGTTCCCTTCTCTTCCTATGCTCTGACATAGAATCTGCTGAAAATGGCAGGAAGCCAGGAGTTGCTATCTGAGAAGGACAGCAATCTTCTGAGAAGGACAGCAATCTCCATTTGCATGATGGAGACTGGTCTGAGGAAAAGATGAAGGGTCTGGGTTTCAACATTATTTTGGAAAATCCCAGGAAGTTGCTTAACACAGCTAAGGGGCTGGGACTTCAAGCATTTGGATTTCAAAGAGTAAGCACTATTTTTACTTTGCCAGCCCACCTTCCTAAAAGGCTTTTCCAGCCAGCCTGTACCCACTGCCGACCAGTAAAGGGTCTGCCTCTTCCTACCCAAGCTCACAGGACTCACTCATACTGTTCAGTTTCTGCCAGTCGAATGAAAATGTTACTTTGTCTGCCACTGAGGCAGAATATCTTTGTCATGTTTTCTCTGAATTGCCTGTTTAATATTCATTTGTCCTTTTTTCTTTTTGTGTTTTTCCATTCCAATTTGTTAAGCTTTCTTTATGCCCCAAGCATTGCACCAGAATAAAGTGTTCATGTGATTTTGTGTATTGTATCCTCACGGCACCTTCTGACATAGGTGCATTTTGCACCAGAGGTACCCAAGGCCCTGAGAACTGAAGCCATTTGCCCAAGGGACAAACTTGGGACTTTCTGTGAAATCCCCAAAGTCTGACAGCATTCCTTCACTTCATCCCCTCTCTGTTCCCTTCAGTCCCAGTTAGCAGTGTTTCTGTTGGCATAAAATTCTCAAAAACTTTGCCCTCCCATGGAGTTCACAGGAGTCCAAGCCATCAGACTGGAGTGTGTTCATAGATCTTCCCTGGGTAACCGTTTCTGGCCTCCTGGCTTCTCCTGAGGTGTTTGATTGGATCCATGAGTTGTACCCTCAGTCTCTCCAACAAATGGTTTTCCAGCTGTGCTCTTGGTGTTCTTTGAAAAGCACACTTATTTCTGCAATAGGGATAGGCTGAAAATTTTCCAAATCTTGACATCCTGGTTCTTTCTTATACAAAAATTCCTTCTTCAATGTCTCTCTTTCCTCTCACATTTTCCTATAAGCAGCAAGGAGAAATTAGGCAATGCCTTTAATACTTTGCTTAGAAAACATCTCAGCTGGCCAGGCACAGTGGCTCACACCTGTAATCTGAGCATTTGGGAGGCTGAGGTGTGTGGGTTGCCTGAGCTCACAGGTTCAAGACCAGCCTGACCTAGAGCAGGACTCCATCTCTAAAACGTAGCTGGGTGTTGTGGCGGGTGCCTGTAGTCCCAGCTACTTGGGAGGCTGAGGCAAGAAGATCACTTGAGCCCAGGAGTTTGAGGTTGCTGTGAGCTATGATGCCATGCACTCTAGCAAGGGTGACCAAGTGAGACTCTGTCTCAAAAAGAAGAAAAAAGAAAACATCTCAGCTAAATATCCTTTTTTTTTTTTTTTTTTTTTTTTTGAGAGAATCTCACTATGTCACCCTTGGCAGAGTACCGTGGCATTACGGCTCACAAACTCAAACTCTTGGGCTTAAGCAATTCTCTTGTCTCAGCCTCCCAAGAAGCTGGGACTTCAGGTGCCTGCCACAATGCCCGGCTATTTTGTTGTTGTTGTTGTTGTAGTTGTCGTTATTTAGCAGGCCTGGGCCAGGTTCAAATTGGCCTGCCTGGGTTTATGTGGCCAGTGTCCTACTCACTGAGCCACAGGCACCAAGGCTAAATATCCTTTTCTTGAGACACTAGGACACAGTTTGACCAAGTTTATTGCCAGTTTACAACAAAGATCTCCTTTCCTCCACCGTCCAACAACTTATTCTTCATTTCTGTCTGATATTTTACCAGAAGTTCCCTCCTTCCCTCACCTTCCTTCCTTGTTTCCCTCCCTCCCTCCCTTCCATCCTTCCTTCCCTCCTCACTCCTGCTAGAGTGCTGTGGTGTCCATTGCTCACAGCAACCTCAAACTCTTAGGCTCAAATGATCCTCTTGCCTCAGCCTCCCAGAGCGCTAGGATTACAGATGTGAGCCAATGTGGCTGTTCCCCAGAAGTACCTTTAATGTGTATATTTCTACCAACCATCTCTGAAAGGCTTTTTTTTTTTTTTTGACATAGTCTCATGATGTCATCCTCAGTAGAGTGCTGGGGCATCATAGCTCACAGCAACCTCAGAACTCTTGGGCTTAAGCAATTCTCTTGCCTGAGCCTCCAAAGTAGCTGTGACTATAGGCACCTGCCACAGTGCCTCACTATTTTTTGTTGTAGTTGTCATTGTTTAGCAGGCCTTGGCTGTGTTCAAACCCGGCAGCCCTGGTGTATATGACCAGCACCCTAACCACTAAGCTATGGGCACCAAGTCAGCTTTTTTTTTTTTTTTGAGACAGAGCCTCAAGCTATCCCCCTGGGTAGAGTGCTATGGCATCAAAGCTCACAGCAACCTCCAACTCCTGGGCT